TTTTCGGCATCACCGATATTGGACTACTATAGCCCTGTCTCTTATACACATCTAGATGTGTATTAATGTATAAAAAACAACTTATATAGTATACTATGGCTCTCTACATACATTTTTTATATAGCAAACAGAATTCTCTGTGCTTGAAATTGATTTATTATACGTCTGCCTTCATATTGACTACTATATTTAGGTTACCTTTATATAATGTACGTACAGTTATATTKTTATTATAATTATTACACAACCACCATTAATTTTTTATCGTAAACAATAAATGCAATTTACTGAGCGTAAAGTGATAGTTTTGACAGTTATCAGTCAAATTGAAGCCGCCTAACAGTTTAATAATAAGCTTTATAGACGAAAGATAACTGGTAGTGGCGTGTGCAAAACGTCAAAACTGTCAAACTTATATTGAAGTTAACACATTTTACCCGAACAAATGTAATATAAAGTAAGGCGGAATTATTTTGCTTTTATTTGTAGAAAATGTACCTATAAACTTTGGTACATACAAATAACACGAAATATTGCTTAACATAATTAGAGCTAAACACTTATATTAATAAGTATGTACATTATATAGACCTCGTAAGTTCCTCAAATAAAATGCACAAAAAAACCGTCAAAATTTTCGCAAACACTTTTGGCMTAATCCTTACTCGCTTGCATAGCTACCAAATACTGTGAGGATTACGTAAATAAAACCTTACTCTATGCTATCCTATTCTGATGCTCCCACCAATAGCACTTCAAAGGGTACAATCAAATTTATTCTTCTTTAATGGTACTTACCCCAACTGCCTCCTGTTCGTCCAAGGCATTGGCTAGTTTCACTGTTCCATATGAATTTTTTGAAACCCTCCCATTTGCCCATCTTTGGCGGTGGCGAATAGTATTGTTCTGCTATCTTCTTGTCGGCCATTTTTGCTGTCTTGTGCTTTTTTTCCTTTAGGCTGCGCTGTTAGTGAAGTTGTTGCTTTTGGTTGATTTTCTACTGCCGAAGAGCTGCTGCGGCGTTTCTTAACTGTTACTGSTGTAGTTGCTCGACTTTAGTTGTCTTTTATTGTATTGTAACTGTCTTGTCGATTCGATGACTGAACTGTAGCAGTTGAGAGGGTTTCTTGTTTTTTTTTTTATTTTTAACTTTATACACTTATTTTTGTGGTATGCAAGTGTTTTTTTAATATTACTTTTATTTTATTTTATTTTAGTTCTTTGTGTCGCCTATTTTTGTTGGTAATATTTAAAGTTTATTAGCTATGTCATTGAAATAGTTCTTTGTAGGATTATTTAATATTGAACTTTTTGCTTAGTAATTTTGTTTTTTTCGTATAACAACAAGCAGTTTTGTTGTTTTCCTGTTTTTATTTATTTTAGCTTTAACTTTTCTTATTTTAGGGAAATATTTTTATAATTTATCTTGAATTTTTTTTATGAAATTTTCTTTTATCTCTTAATCAACTGGGTCGAAACATTTTTATTGTTTTTTATTTGGTTTATCTCACTGGTATGTTCGTCTTAGAATATTTTCTAAATATTATTTTTCACTGTGTATACTACGAGTTGGCTATTGCAATTCGTCAATTTGGAATATCAATGCTATTGCCACCTATAAGGGGATAGGAGTGAAAGTTTTTGTGTTAGTTGAGTTGTGCGTATTACCATCAGCTCGGTGTAATGTTGTTATGTAAAGCGTTGTAACTGTTAATTTTTCCATAACACATAATACAAATTATTTATGCACATACGATGGAAGTTTTCACCCACACTATGAGTTGGTCACACTATGAGTTAGCCACACTCTTTGAAATTTTATTAGCTTTCATTCAGTCTTTACCAATTTACACATTTACAATAACTTCAAAATTTAATACTAACAAGAGCTTTTATCCTTCATCACACACTCATATCAAAAGATTTCATTTCACCAAATTGTTCGACTTTTCTCGTCACCAATTTGGTCTCAGTTTCGACTTTTCTTGTCACAAAGTTAGCTTCCATCAAAGTTTTTACCTTTACAATTACTTCTAACGTTAACATGAGCTTTCATTCCTTATCACATATTCATTTTAGGAGCTTTAAGGGGCTTTATTAGCTTTCACAAAATATATCGACATTATATTATGTATAGTTTTTTACTATAATCTATCTATCTATCTATCTTCAGGCTTAAATATTTGAAATATTTCTCATTTGAAAAATATTGTTTTTAAAAGTTGAAATCTTACTAGAAATTACAAACAAAAAATTATATTTATAACGTAATCCTGAATTTGAACAAATGCTTCTCGCYCATTATGGTCAGGTCAGTGGTGAAACAGTATTGACAATTAGAAAACTGATAGGAGAGGTGACTCAATAGTTTCACTTACAARATATTTTATAAAATTATTACACATAACTTATAAAAAATGCTGACTTAGTGTACAAAGTCTCGTAGAATTTTTGAAAATGCTTCTAAGATTTTTAGATCAAAGTAGTAATCTATACTATAGATCCTCATTCGTTCTGATGTTTAAATTGATAGAAAATRTTTACTTACTACTCTACTAAGTATCTTGAGAGTTTGAAAAAAGCTTCTAAGATTTTTTGCATAAGTTTTTGTTTTGAAAACGAAAACTTTTTACTCAAATTGCACTTCTTTAAAAAAAAAAGCAACATAAGAAAGTTAATTAAAGGTTTACTCTTAGCCTTACGAAAATAGATATAAAAGTTATGCAACATATAATATTATTTATAGTATTTTAAGAAACTTTGCAGCAACTTCAAAAACAAATGGCTTAAAAGCTGGTGCTGCCAAATCACAGATTATATTTTGTTAATTTAGTCTATAAAGATAGAATTGTGCTCAAAAGACTACATAACTGTGAATTGTTAAAYGATTAGAAGCACAATTAAATAATATTCTCAACTTCATACGTTTGAGAAAGGCTGAAGAGATTTTTCTTTCTAATTGGTAAGATGTCCTCCTGAACACATAATTTTTTTTTTTTAATTTGCCAACTCTTTTGGCAAGCTTATTGGTTTTTTTGACAGAACTCGTGAGTTTCAAAGTCAGCTTTGAATTTTACTCAATAGAATTTGGTTATATAAATAAAAAATGCATGTTCTCAAAACTTATACTAGACCCTTGGGACCAAGCCGCCAGGAATCACATAACATGTCAATACTCTAAACATTTTTGCACACATATCAGATGACACATTTGTACACTTATACACACACAAATTCACTTCCGTTAATACGCTTGCCACTGTATATGTTACGATATACCAAGAGTACCACAAGGACAATTCAAACCATTGTTAGTTTATTTATTTTTTTCTTTCCAATAAAATTAAATATCATTGTGAAAGTTTAGCACACAACAAACTTTTTTCACAATCAAAGAATTTTATTTTCAAAAATGTTTAACAAAGTTTACTGCCTTTGCTGCGCCGCTACCTTTGCTACCCTCAATAAAATAACTGCTACTACTAACCAACTAACTGACTGACTTTATGCCTGCCGCTATTGCTGCTGTAGTCACACACAGAAATTACGATTATGTAACAGTGCACACTGTGTAAGAGGCCGCAAAGGAAACGCTGAAAATTTTTCCACACCAACAACGAATGTCATACACGATGAGACACCGAGAAAGAGCATGGTCACGAGTCATACAATATATACACGAATTGTGGGAAATGGCGTATGTGGCTAAAGCAATGAGAGTGACACGAATCACCAAAAGCTACAACACTCGTTTCTTAAGCAACAACAACGCCGTAAAAGGATAAAATCTGGAAATGGTAATAGTGCTAAAATATGGAAAAACTACTAAAAAAAGAGAGTTTAAACTAGTTGGAAAAGTTGAGAATGGCTAAAATGAGAGTAAAGAAGGCTTAGAGCTTACGCGATAGGTGCGTGTACTAAAAAATACCATACGAAAACCCGTGCACACTTAATATGAGCGAAAAATGAAGGACGAAGGATATGAAAAAATTAATGTGGTGGAAAACTGGAAAACCAAATACTGGAAACAAGTCGAGCAACGTAGCATAAATATGGACAAATCTGTGCAGGCTATAATATACTGATTTATAAAGTACATGGTAGCGTCAACTTCACACTATCTCCATTGGGGGACAGTAAATAACCAATTATAGTAGGAGTTATGATTTTTAGTACGCATATGTTGGAATATTTGTTACAGTTACCACGGTAAAATGTTTGTGCAAATGAAAAAGTGGTTTTTAAGTRACAAGATTCATTAAAGTGCAGAAGAAGGATCTTACAACATTTATTGTTATATAATTAATTGAAGGAAAAGTTAAAAATTTATCTTTGTTTTCTTGGGGCTATAGTTTTGAATAGATAATTTCATCGATTTATACAGAGGTTTCTCTTATGATAAAAAAAAAAAAAAAACAATTTCTTCAAGTGTGTTTTTTGGCTGAAAATTAAAACATAGCTTTAAAGTGAAATAAGAGATATATAAATGAAAATTTCCAAGAAATGAAAATGAAAAAATTTAATTAATAAAAGTGCGTCAAAAAATTGTTCACAACCAAATTTCTTGTCAATATATCCTTTTTTGGTCTAGCTATAGAATTAGAAACGTGATAACGAAATAGAGGTTTTAGAGACTTTGTCCATAATTTTAAAATTATTAACTTATTCTTCAAAATCTATGCCCCTTCAAAGTTATCTTCCTTGACCACGATACACTTGTGTCAACATTTTTTTTTAATCTTCGAAACTGTTATTAATGTTAACTTCCAGAATAGCCTTCAATGCGCGTTTAATGTCTTCAATTGAGTCAAAACGGTTTCCACGAAGCGGTCATTTGAGTTTGCTGAATAGTCACAGCAAGCCATAGCCATAGCAAGTCACACTGGACTAAATCAGGCGAATACAGTGGCTTCGTCACGATGTTGGCTGAATATTTGTCGAAAAACTTACGAAGAAACAATGCGGTATGTGACGGTGCATTACCGCCACTCTAGTGGTGGTTATGAATAATTATGATTTACAAYGATTATTTGTTCTGACATCATTTTTTCATTGGGCAAAATATTTTTTCTTTTTATATTTCTGACACCCGCGCCGCCCTTTTTTTACTATAACTACTTAGGGTCTTTAGTTGCAGCATAACTTCAAGAAACATGCAAAAGTGTTACCATAGTATAGTATATCGTACAATATAAATTTATTGGAAGTAAAAATGAAACACTAGAATCAAGAATTGTCTATTCGAGTGAAGTCCAAAATGCAAATACAGTCGTAAACATTGACCCAAAACGACWAAGTATTCGAAGCGGTCAATTGAATAACCAGAGTGTGATTACTTGTATGGCAAATAAAGAGTAGTAGTTTTCCATGAACCAACATTGTTGAAAAGTAAGATTTGTGGTCTTTTTCCCCTAATGATATGAAACTCAAAAGACCTATTTAAAGAGACAGCATTGTTAATATGTTATGTTAATTAATTTGCTATAACTACAATATCGTCACCTAAAATGCAAACCAGCGTATCATCAAAAAAATTGGTTTAGTCAGGTGTAATCAATATAACTATAACCAAATCTCAAATCTTATTTCAATATGCGTAGTTTTCATTTCAAACTTATAAAAAGTGATGTTACGTTATTTGCATTGTAGGTGCGGATATAGGTAATGGTTTGAAAATCAGTAAAAAAAAAAATATTAACATTTTTATACAGAAGAAAGTGTCATGGTTTAAGATCACAATAAATTATATAAATTATTTTTCTCATAAATTGAACAAACACTCTCTATTTTTTCATTTGTTCAAAAATTTGATGCACCATAACTAATTCTAGTTGATCAAATTTCTACTATTGATCTCTCGTAGGATCTTATAGTCAAGACTAGAGAGAGTATCATTACTAATATTAGTACTGAATAACCTTGTGAGGGTATATCATAAAATATTTTGGATGAAAAAATGGATCACTAAATCCAAAAATTTGCTTTTCGAACGAAATCGAAAGTGCAAATACGATCGTAAACATTGTACCAAATCGCCTAGAGAACACATCTGTTTCAAATAAATAGTGCATAGAAGACTATGAATAAACAATTTTGGAAACTAAATTTATATTGTTGTAATTTCTTAAATGAAACAGTTATATACAAGCTAAATTTAGAAGAATAACCAAAACAATGGAGTAAGGACTTGAAAATAGATCGGTTGTAAAGAATGAAGTATAAAACTCAAAAGATCTATTCAAAGAAACAGCATTGCTAATATGTTATATTAAGGGATTGCTCTAAGGTTATGGCTCGTATGAAATGGTTTGAAAATCACTTAACAAAAATAATCACGTTTCTATACAAAAGAAAATTTATACCAAT